TGCTCTTCCTGCTCTTCCTGCTCTTCCTGCTCTTCCTGCTCTTCCTGTTCTTCTTGCTCTTCTTGCTCTTCTTGCTCTTCTTGCTCTTCTTGCTCTTTCAATCTTTTAATACAAAGGATGTCTTTTTCTCAAGTAAAGTTTAGCAGTTTATAACAGGATTGTTTATCATTGGAGAAGTACGTAGCTGAACTCTACTAACCATGTGTTAAGTCATGATTCGTAGGCCACTCATTGCCAAGATAGCGGTTTATTTTATGTCCAAGACGCATAGCTTGTCCGATATTCTAGCCTAAAGAATGAAGCAGCCCTCGAGCGTGGCTCAGTCAAACGAGTCTGCGACGCTGAAGTCCCCTTGTACGTTGTAAGCATATTCCTTTACATTATGTTTACACGAAGTTCGCACTAAAGGTCTCCTTCTAACGTGAATCGACTGTAACACTCCCTTTTTTTCACGATTAATGCTGCAGGCATTTTTAGATCGGCTCGACCACGAGCCGCCTCTAACATGATTATTCGAACTGCCAAGAGTAGAAAGGCCATTAATTTACATACAAGCAAATCCATCAAAATTGAAACGTAGCCCAGCGTTTTGAAGCGAGTTGAGATACAGTACATAACCATGATAAACGCCAAAAATACCTTGATCACTGCTTCCAAGCCCGCCTGTAAATGGATAACTCCGTCTTACATCAACAGTCAGACAGGAAGTGAGAACTTCTTTCCTTTCATGACCCTACGCATGTTTAGTGCATTATCGGGCTTCAAGATTCTCGGGTGACTTACTTGGTATAATAGATATAGAAGAAATCCGAGTATAGGAGTGTTTGGACGATGCCTGCTACAACAGGGACGGGCTGAAAGTAGCTTTCCGTGAAGTAGCGATAGATCCAGTTGGGTATGTAGAGGGCGCGGTATAGACCCAATGCAAAGAGATAGTGCGTTGTTATGGTGTCCGCCTCGCCAGTACGTTGAAGCATGAAGAGCTGGGGGAGGATGGCAACAGATTCAAGCCAAATCGAGAACGTCCAGAGAATCTTGCTATTGTCAGAATCCGCATGGGGCAACAAAGTGATTGAAGAACTGACTTCGGAGACACTATAGTCATGTGGGAAGAGAAGAGCTAGCAAAGTACCGGCCCCGAGGAGGTATTGGACTTTGAATGTATCGATATTCGGATCATGTGTGGGTTTATAGTCATTAAGCATGAGATAGATGATATAAGCTGATGAGCCAATGAACAATAGCTTGAAAGTCGTGTTGTATAGGGAGTCGGAAAAGGCCCAGAAGAGATCTAGAATATTGGCAAGAATTAGAGAAGTTTTGCGAGGTGCGACGGGAAAGAAAACATGGAGCCCTTACCAAGATAGCGAGTCACAAAAACCATCAAATATAAAGCCTGTGATTTGAATGACAGCCCAGAACAGCTCTAACTTGCGGGTTAGATTTGAGGACTACAGATGGCAAGCGGAAAACTATACGCTAGACGACTTCATTTTATGTAGAAGAATAAAGATGGACGCGAGGTGCGAGAAATCAGCTAGGTTGAATGTTAGAACAATTGCTAGATAGTATCACAATGTACTCACCCAAAAGCCTGAAGATATTCATTATGGTTTATGAATTCAAGCAGAGTAGGTATAGATTGATTGGAGATACCAAATATATAATGAACGATGAAGATTGTTTGATAACAGTTTAAGAATCTCCTATAATCAATTGCCATGCGATTTAGGTAAACCAGTGAATTCCACTGTTGGTACGGAGCATAGTAATAGTCGCACCTACGGGGAGGAGGCCTTGAACAATGTTGACACGAAGCCACAACAAGCAGGCGCGACAAGCAAATTCTCCGCCCCACACACACAGCGCGCTTTAGATGCGTGATTCCACCTGCAGGGTATACTTGAACTCCTTTTTGAATTAAATACTAACACTACGGAGTACACTCCTTTGCCCTTTTTCCCCTCACGTTGCTGACTTTATTTTGTTATGTTTTAGTCTTTGCCCTCCACTTTCTTCCCCCCCCACCTCCTCCCTTTTTTTTAATTTTTTTTTTTTTAATTTATTGCCTTGTCATTATTCTTCAATTGTTGGTCCTTGTATCATCAGTAAGAGAACGAAAAGGCAGAAACCCACGTGGCTTAAATATTATGAGCAATTCTCGTCCTAAAGTGACAATGATTCCCAGCATTGTACTTTCAAAAGATCGCGCTAACATGTGCGCTTTCGCCATCCACAATTCGCTGCAGGTGCCCCTCTGCCAGTTCACTTTTCAAAGTGCAAATGGAGCTATCCCTATCTAGTCTGTCCCAATCTCGTATTCCAACGCGTTTTGATCTCTGAGTGTCTGCAATCTGCTCCATAAGCCGATCCCTGTCTGCGTCTAACTGCGAAAGGCGCTTTTCCGTGAGGGCATCTAAGTCAGATGGGATGCATCTTCCCCCCGATATAATCGAAGAAAGGCCGGTAAGATGATTCATGTACCTCGAGGTGCGAGGATAAGGGACTCCCGTAACACCCCCTTGCCGGTAGGTAGAATGACGATGGGTATCCACACCCGGCCCTGGCATCGGGGTATGGCCACTGCGCGGACCAGTCGGGGGCCCATAGGACCCAACCGACATTGGCCCACGGCGGGCGGGAGCACCGGTCCAAATGTTTTCCTTGAAGCTCGGCCCTCCACGAGGACGAGTGGGGGCAGATAATAGCGAAATATTTGAGCTGCGAGTTTGCGAGGGCAAAGACTTGAATCCATGGGAGGGACCAGATGGCGGTAAATGGTCCTGTGCTATGCTATATGCCCTTGGGTGGCTTGGAACGCTGCCAGAGTGTGCTTGATTCAATTCAGCAGAGTCTTTCCCCCGTTTTTCGAGGGAAGGAGCCCGACCAGAGATATCCAATTCCGGTCCTTTCTCTAAAGAGTAACCTGCTCCATCCACGAGCGGAGAGTCACGTCCTATGTCGTCTTTATTCGGCTTGGTTTTGCTCAATGTTGCATGCTCGTGACGGGACGGTGAATGCTCTGAATTCTTCGATAAGCGGCGACAGGGAATTGGCTGAGATGCCGGTGACCGAACCCTGTGGTTGTATTGAAAAGCACTGACCCTGTCTAGAAATGGCGATGACCGTCTCGAATTGGAAACAGACCCAGGGGCAGAGGTATATGCAGGAACTCCTCGGGGTGATGGCGATCGTCGTCTTTGGGCTATATAATTCTCTGCATGGCGGTCCCTGCGACCCTCTTGAATTGGACTTCGAGAACGAGGGACCATCGGTCCACGAGCGAAATTATCTCGCAACAAGCTACGCCTGGAAGGTGAAGCTGGTCTCGTGTACTGGTCAGACGCAGTCAGTGCAGGGCGCTCTCTTCTGGCTGGTCTAAAATCTAGGTTAGGTGATGGATCTCGAAGCCGCTTTGACATGTTGCGATTCCGGGAGAAGTCACGAGGTCGATTATCAGCGTACGGTGACCTTAAACGCCACGAAGTAGGAGCAGGAGACCTGGGTCGTCCTTCGCGTCTGGGTGAGAACCTTCTTGGGGGGGAGCATGTCTTCAAGTATGAACTAGGGCCGCTATCTCTATTGTAGAAAGATGGGCTCCGGGATGAGCGACCCCTAAAAGCTGGAGGTGAACGACTGCGTCCGCGACCATATGACCGACTTGAAGATGGTACCCATGTGTCAGCCACTAGACGAGGGGAACGATTCCGTGGCGATCTACTGCGTCTAATATAACCACGAGGACCTGCCGGGCGATAGCTCTCTCCGCCACGGTGATCATCAAATCTATGAGTAATTCATTAGCCCCGGCTTCAAGCCATGATACGGTGGACTTGAGGTGTAAGAAGAATATGTATATGGTAAAAAGGGGAGGTGGCGTAACATGTTCATATGCCAGACCTTCTGTTGCGATCCCTGTCCATTCCGAGACAAACAGACAATTTTTCATGAAGGTCACCGGAATCTGTATAGACAGTGTCACCATGAATAGGCAGCTATTAAAGGAAGTGTATAGAAACTGCGCCTGAAAGCAGGTAATGAGCATGGACCGGGAGCCTTGTCTTGCACATCTGGCCGGCCAAGTATCACATGACTGAACCACCTTGGGACGTGAGTCCAAGCATACAACACTGCTTACTTTCTCTCTCTCTCCACAGCCCAACATACTCGTACTCAACGGACTACACTTTCTATCAAGGATTATGGGAGACTAGCCAGTCTGCTATGACTTAAGAGAGGTTTAGTAAGGAGGTAATCAGATACACTATCAGTACTTGTGCGGTATGCCCTTTGTTTAGATAGCTACTACGCTTTCGGCCTTACTTTCAGAATTGTCAGTCAAGAAGCGCATGAAAGATTTGCGGACATCATCCTGTTCTTCAGTAAGGACGATAGAAGACTGTAATCCAAGACAGAGAGCCGCGAACAATGACTTCATTGGTACAGGTGCTGTAAAGCACGCATGGTAAAACTAGTGGATTGACAGCGATCTCAGTGCCGGTTCCGCTTTTCTTCTTCCTTTCTGAGCCTTTTCCGACTTTCCTGGGCGATCATATCACTTAGATCCTCCTGAAATCCCCAATTAGGATTGTTTTCCTGCTGCCTTTGGGATTCGTAAAGCTTTCGAATATTTTCTTTGCTAAACCCCTCACTTATCTGCAGAGAATCTGGGTCCACAGAGACATCAACGTCGCCGGGCTTCTTGCGCTTCCGATTTTGTTCATCAGCACCAAGTACCGCCAAGTTTTCTGGGGGCGCAGTAAGATCATACAACCTGTCGCCGCCGAAGAAGCCCCGCACATTGGCCTGTCGCTCTGGGATAACTTGAAAAGCGCTCTTATGACTTACAGACTCTTCAGTCTGTGTGCCTCGATAGTGCTTGCGCACGTCAAATTCCCCCGAAACACTCTCTTCACCAGCTAACTCAGAGGGAACAGCTGATGCCAACCCACTTGGCGTCTCAAGTCCGCTAGGAGTCTGGACGCCCGCTTCCATATCCTCTTCATCTTCCTCATCATCTTCATCTTCACTCTCCTCGTCAGAAAGCTCGGGTTCTTGTAGCTCACCCCAGAGATCCTTCTCGACAGGCTCGCCTTGCTGCATTGTCTGTTGCGGTTGCAATACACCGAAGATATCACCACCATAGAGAGGACGGTTGTGCTCATCTACTGGTGGCTTCCCATAGCCACCAGGATGGTATCCCCACATGGCACCAGGAGGGGGGGGCGCGTTGAGACCTGGAATCTTCAAAGCTGGATATGATGGGGGTGGGCCATACCTCTGTTGGTTGATTAACCAAGGAGGGGGCGCACCGGGTGGCATATTGAGGGCTTCCTTGAGCTCAGCGCTAAGCTCACCCGGCCGTAAATGTCTAAGGTTGGTTTCATATTCCTTACCCTCATAGTAAACTTCGCCATAGCGAGTAAGTTCCGGCTTGGTTTGGAATCGGAAAAATGCTTCGTATAGCTTCTGATAATCGATATCCAATCTTCCCATCTTTGGTTGGACCCTCTCTCTTTGCTTCTGTTTGAGTGTCGCTTGTTCTTGCTTCTCCAAGGCAGCATCGCGCATTTCCGATATCCCGGTCTCCTGAATGAATTTTGGTAACGCGAAAGGCGGCTTCTCGATTCCTCTCTTAGAAGAGAGGTACTCTCGTTTTAAAGACCAATGTGAAGGGACCGGGACAACGTTGCGATGAGATTTTATATGTACAAGAAGCCGAGGATCGGGGGCCGACGTGTCTGTCCACTCGACAATTTCTGGTCTCCGAACCATTGCCTTCAGTTCAGCGACAGAAAGCTTATTCAATTCCTTGCGCTTTCGTTTTGAGAGCTTGGGCTCCTTTTCTTCTTCGTCCGGGATTTCATTGTCATTATCAAAATAGATTTCGGGCTTTTCGGGCTCTTTTGTCGGTGTTGAGTTGTCCCCAACCTCATCGAATCTGTTAACAATGTGCTTATATACTTGCCATAACGGATCCTCTGAATCTGGAGATGCAGCATTTTGACCTTGCTCGCCACTACCTTGTGAGACATCTGCCGATAGAGTCACCTCTGTCTGAAATTTCGTATGTGTTTCATCGAGTGTCGCCTCGGTAGCCTAGGAAAAGTCAGTTTACTCTTGATGCTTACGCTATGATAAACAGACCTGCGATTTCAAGGCCTTTTTCCGTGCCCTTCTCAATTGGTTTTTGCTTGGCCGCATTATGAAAGCTTGTTGAAGAGATATGTACGAGCGGCAACCTAGTAGGCTTCACTTATCTCGTACTATGGAACTTAAAACGCCTAGACAAGTGGTGGGCGAAAGTGAAAGTCAATGTATTGTGATTCTTTTGGTGGGAGTATAAAGTAATTTATGGGTTCAAGGGTAAAATGAGTCGTGGTTTGGTCATGTATGTACTCCGTACCTTCTGAGACACCCGCAGGCATATCACGTGCCAATACAGAGGCTTGCCTGTGGTTACCAAAATGTTAACAGTGAAGAGCATTGAAATTTCGAAAATTGCCGCGTATAAGCAACAAACTTTTTAGTTAGCTTATTACAGGGCGACGGAGCTTTTTACATATAACCAGTAAGGCGAAAAACGCTCATTATTTAATATTAATCAGATGAACGAGTGATCCACTATACCATCGCTGATTTCCAAAATCAAGTCCACGTAGCCATTGTGTTCTTCTGATCCGGTAAGAAACCCGTGGGAGTGTAGAGTGTACACTGGGAAAACATCCTGGAGATTAAGGAAAATTACGTTGCATGGCACACCCAAGTCTACAGAGGCCATCTTTTGGGGTTTCAGCCCCCATTTAGCCATGTATATTTCCAGAGATTTCAGACCGGACCGAGCGAAGACTTCACAAACATAAAGGGCGAGTAATGAGCATCTATAAACATCCCAACATAAATCTGATGGAGAACGGAATTGCGCCCACTTGGGCTCCAACTTGAGATATAATACAGGAATATTTCAGGATTATTATTTTTGACATGAGAACATAGGAGGTTATGCCTGTCCTTTCCTCTCTATTTCTTTTTCTTTGCGGATCTCGATTCTACCAATGGATTAGCGACCGCGGCATGAAGACGGTATTCCCTTTGAGTGGCTTACCAGCGGCTGTTCTCTTTTTCTTTGGGCGGCCCTTTCCTCGAAGCTTCGCACTAAATCGTAATTATGAGCACATCCGTAGTTGAGGAGCAGGGATCACATACATTTGGATTGCTTCCTCTCTGTCATCCTCTGCTTCATCGAACGTGGTTAAGCCGAAAGGCTTGTAACTGTCTTGTAAATCACGGAAAGAAACAGCCTTTTTCGGATACCATTCTGCAAGCGTTGGGCCGCGGAGTCGCTGTCGAAGAACCTTGTTTCCCAGTCGTAACCTTTGCGGATTAAAGTTAAGTGAAAAGATACGACATTGGACCTGGGAGCAGCATTAACATCAGTTCAAACTCGATTGCACAGAAAAATACAGCCTGTGCGAGAGGTAATACCTTGGCAAGGTCCAGAATACGAATGTAAGGCGCTGCCATTATTTGGGCATATGAGTTAAAGAGGATAAGAACACCAGCCCGATATGAAACCATGATGGCCTATCGCAACCAAATCACGTGACTTTATGAGTCCTGCTTTTTTTTTCCCCCTCCCCCTCCCCCCAAATCCAAAGCATGCGGCATTCGAATACTAATTATTGTATTACAATTAGTGCACCATGACAATGGAACGTAAAAGGAAATCCATTTTTTCAACCTCCGCTAAGACTTATACCAAGGAAGCTAGGGTAAAGGTACGTACATTCCAGGAGAAGGTTCCATCTGGTACTGACGTCTCAAGGTTGATAACCCGGCCTTGGATAACAGTGCTTTGGACAGGGACAAGATTAGATCTCGTTTTACTGTGATATCAGATCTTTTGAGTGATACTCTTGGAACTTACCGTCGCCTACAAGCTCGTGATGCCGAAGTTAGCCCTGATACCCTCAAGGCAACATTTGAGCTAGAGGAGGCCCTACGTCGCGCAAAGAACCATTTATCCACTGCAAGTGCTCGCAATGGCCATATTTCGGCTGACTCCTCAGCTGAAGCAGTAAGCATGCAAGGAATTTTGCCCGTATTACCTCCTATTGTGGATAAAGTCCTGAAAAGAGCTGTTTTCACGCATCCGGGTGTGAGCAACGACACCGAGAAAACCTACGATCGACTTGAAATCCTCGGAGATGCCTATATAGAACTGATTGCTACAAAGCTCATATGGAAAAGGTTTCAAGAAATTCCTTCAGGGCGAATCTCACAGATCAGAGAACTCCTGGTAAAGAATGAAACTCTAGCCGAGTATGCAACGGGATATGGTCTTGACAGCAAGGCTGCTGTACCACAGGACTACTTGAAGCAACCAAAACGGTGGACAAAGACCAGGGCAGACATTTTCGAGGCCTATGTAGCCGCAGCCATCATATCTGACCCAGTTGATGGCTACAGGGTGGTTGAAAATTGGCTGACGCAGCTATGGCTTCCGAAGCTCTCGGAACTTGGTTATCAGAAGCCCATTTTGAATGCAAAGGAAATACTTGCTAGAAAGATCATGGGTAAGGGAATCAAATTGCGGTACATTGATGAACATCCTCCAGCCCAGCAAAGTCCGGGGGTGCAGACTTTTTTCGTTGGGGTATATCTTACTGGATGGGGCTGGGACAATAAACATCTTGGGTCTGGCCAGGGTCCTAACAAGACGATCGCAGGGAACGAAGCAGCACATCAAGCTCTATTAAATGAGCGAATGGTAGAGGAAATTACTTTTGCTAAGAGAGCTCATGAGGCAACCAAAGATTAAGCAGCCATGTGGCAAAAATAGACAAATAAATGACCTAATAATAATAATAATAATAATAATAAGAGTTGATATTAAGTCGGGTTCGGGTCCAAAATCTAGAACCCGCACCCGCCTAATTTTAGGTTAACACACCCTGCAAAAGCCCAAAAAAGCCCTATACTAGATCTAAATAGGTAATAACTTGCTTAGTAATTATATACCTTATCTATATAGATTTAGACTAGAATCCTAAATCGATTTTTAAAGCTCTGTCAGATCATAAGTAAGTTGGTTTTCCCCTGGTGCCGTAAGGGCGCGGATATACATATATGATCGGCCACATATAGCAGAATACCCGTGGGAGGACTGACTGAGTATATAATATTAGTTCTTTCTGTAAGAGTCAAGACCAGTACCCTTACAATTATTAATATAGAAAAATACAAAAAATAAGAAAAAGATAAAGCTATAAAAACTATTTATTTATAAAATTATAAAAATTTATAAATTATTTTAGAACTACATCTTCTTTAGATTATTAGTGTCTAAATTATCTAAGCTATTACTAGACTGGGATTTATACTACTAATTATTAAAAATAGTATTAGAATTATTATTACTGTTAGTAATATACTAATATTTTTATTAGATAATATAGATATATTGATATATCTAAAGACTTTATTATTAAAAATGTCTCTATAATAGAGATATTTAATATTATTAAATAATAATTTTTAAAATTAATTAATTTTATAGAAATATAATCTTATAGTAATAAAGATATTTTATACTTATTTATATTACTTATTCTTCTAAGTCTAGTATGTTTTATTATATTTAAACTTTAGTATTAATATTCTCAATTTATTAATTATACTTAATAAGTATTCTGTATATAAACTTAGTATTTTTAAGATTAAATATTCCAGTAAACTAGATATTTAATAAATATATAATTAATTTAAATATAGGTATAGATTAAATATTAATACTAGTATTTTTATTTTTAATAAATAATATCTGTTAGTAGAGGCTTCCGTCTGGCGGCCTGGAGGCCCGGAAGTACAGGTGCTTCCGGGCCGCTAAGCAGGCCTACAACATCTAGCTAGGAAGATAGAAAGCTTAAATAGAGGATAAGAATTTATAAATAGATAGAAAAAGTGTTTCTATCTATATAGTAATAGATTATAAGCCCAGAAAGACTTTTTTAGATTATTAGAAATAAAAGATCTATTAATTAAAATATAAATTTTTTTAGAATTTAATAATAATTAATAGTAGTATTAAAAAATATTAATATTTAATAGCTATTATAATTCTTATTGGATCTACTAAATTTATCTAGAGATATTAAATATCTATTATTATGAGAAAATTATTTATCTAATTAAAACTGTAAAATAGATAAAAATTAGAAACTTAAGCTAGAATTAGACTATATTATATATTTAAATATAATAAAGAATTTTTTAGA